TGTGATCTCCGTGCTGATGAAGGTGTAGCTTTATCGTCACTGACGGCTTAATCTGTTGCCTGAGACTTCTGCTTGCGAGCTTGATTTTAAATGGAATAAAAGCACAATAAATATTGAATGACCATGCTGAATACATACATAATGCGTATGCTTACCTCGAATTATACCAAAAAATCAAATTCCAGGTGGACCACAGATTTCAAAATAAAAAGTAAGATATTAAACTTTTGAAAAGATAAATAATGAGACTATATATGCAATCTTACAAGAGTATTTTTTAAAGATAATATATGGCACAAATCACAAAGGAAAAATCTAATAAATGTAACTACAATAAAATTAATCAACTTTCTTCAAAACATCAATCTGACGGAAAAACATGCCATAAACTAGAAGGTATTTTAAAATACACATATGTACCCAATAAAAGATAAGCATCAATGTGTTAGTCTGGGTAGACTAGAGAAACAAATTCATAAACACTCATATGTGTAAGAAAGAGCTTTATATTCAAGAGCAATTGAATATTAAGAAAACATCCCAACCAAGTCCAGATCAAGTTTACAAGTCCGATATTAGCCCATATGCCCAATACCAATTTATAAATTCCTCTTCAGATTCACAAAACACATGCAATGATGCCAAGTGCAGGAAGATCACAGGCCAGTGGGTGAAAAGTCTTGTGGATCCAGTGGTACTGTAAGCATCTCAGCACTGGCGTGGGTCTCCACGTGGCTCCTCCAGCTCCAGGGCTCTAGCGTAGCTCCATGTGTCTTGTCATGAGGAATACGAAGGAGTGTGTGTGTCCCACCTCCAGGGAGGAAGACAGGAGTTCCCAGAATCCTCAGGAGAAGGTCATGCCCACAGACAGGCCTCACTGGCTAAACCCTAATTGAGAGGCTAGACTCCACCCCTTCACAAGTTGACAGGAGATTATGGAACTGCCACAATAGAGGATATACGAAGAACTTCTCTGATTTAATAAGAGCCATACTAAAAGACTAAACCAAAACTGCAAAGGACCTAAACCAACATTTCACCAGAAAAGGAACACAGATAGAAACACGAAGGTGGGTTCACCTTTCTTAGAAAGCAGGAAAATGGTCAATAAAATAAAATGTGATACTATTTTATATACATCAGACTGGTAAAAATGAAAATCTGTCCAAACTAAGCATTGCAAATGGTAATTGTGGGAACTCTTGCTCACTGCTGCCAAGTAATTAGGAGAAAAAATTGGAAACAATAAGCATGATTTACCTATTACTTACAGTGAGGATGCATAGCAATTGCACTCCTAGGGACACAGCTTAGACGCTTACATATACACATTCACTTAATAGCACTTGTTTGAGATAGTTTTTAAAAAAAAGAAGAAAGATCCCAAATATTCATTAGCAATAACATGATATGAGACTACTCCTATAATGAAGTTATTACTAAACGAGTAAAAAGACATGAATGACAATAACATGAAATGCCATGGATAAATTTAGAAGAAAATGTCAAATTAAAAAAGGAAGTCATGGAATAATACATGCAATTTCATTTTTATAAAGGTCAGAAGCAACTACTGGTCTCTTCCTGTTTGGTGGACAGAATGAAAAACGGGAAGTTCTAAGAAGCAATGAGTCCAGTGGGCAAATGGGCCACACAGATATCAGCCTCCACAACCTGAGACCAG